TCTACTATAGTCCAAACTCTATTGGTGTTCATTGATTCTATTTCATACTTCAAACCCAATATTAGACCCAAATTGGCCCCCAACTGATGATGGCTCTTTGTATGTGCAAAGCCAATTTAGCAACACTATTTCAGCAAAATTAAAGCCCAACTTGCTTGGATCGATGATGCTATATGAACTTGATATCCTCTTAAGTTTTTTTCTTCCAAACACATAAAAGAGGACTGATGAAAATCAACCCCCACAACAGTTGATTCGAACAAGGGTTTATTGGTGCAAAGGAAGAAGAGAAAAGGAGCAATAGAGTGGAAAGAAAGGATGGTTCACCTCCTCTCTCTTATCTTCTTATATACAACACTCTCATAATCCTATTAGGAGACTATCTAAATCAAATTTGGATCAGGACTTAATCCATATAGGATAAGCACATTATCTACTTAAAGAATGGGTGCTCCATACCCATATCCAAACCTATAACTTCTTAAACTAATCTCATTACTAATGGGCCTAAGGCTCACATTCTTTAATGGTTCACATTTCTAGGCATTTCATGGCCACTTAGGCCCAAAAAATTATGTAGTGTGGAACCCACAAAGGTCTCACACAAATCCACATTTGATTCCCATTAGGAAAGGGAATCCTTGTATTTATGTCAGTTTTCAAGGGAGCACTACTAAGGTTTCACCAAATGTCTAACGAGATCTTTTGAGGATAAAGTTTCCTTTTATCGCAGGATTCTCTTTTGGCATGTGTGTACTACTTCCTATTATAGGTTCCTTGAGGTAACATACAAAGGTGGCCACAAGCCAAGCTCTTCACGAGCTACTTGAGCTCGGCTCAACTCATGAGGCTCACGAGCCAAGCTCAAATAGCTACATATAAAATTAATAATAACAATAACAATAATAATAATAAAATTATAAAAAATATTATATAATAAAAATATTATATAAAATACATTTATTTTTATATATTATAATTCTTAATTTTTTAAATATCAAATAAAAAATATTATATATATATATGTTTTTTTTATTTTTATAAAACATTTTTCTCAAGTTGAGCTCGAATCGAGCCAAGCTCGAGCTTACGAGCCTTGTACTACCTTGGCGAGTCAAGCTTAAATAGCTAGCTATTCGGCTCAGCTCGACTTGGCTCGAATCCACCTCTAGTAACATTGGGGCCTAGGTTTGATTGCTATGTCTGGCTATTCTCCTTATTGTCTTCAAAACATTTCATCATAGTCGTTGTGAGTATTTAGCAACTTTATGTACTCATCGCAAGTTCGAGGTGGCTCTTAAAGCTCATCGCAAGCTTAGGACAATTCTTTGAGTTCATCACATGCTTGGGATGGTTTTCTGAACTCATCGCAAGTTTTGGGTGGTCCTCCATATTGCTATGAGTGTCTATGTGGTTTTGTTTTGATACCTTTATCTTGATTATGGCGGAGGGGAACTCCATGAACTTACACCAGTAGTGGATTTCAACTGTATTTGAAATATGATTTGCAAATTATATTTATATAATCTATTAATATTTTTGGGGAAAATGGTTGCAAAAGGTTTTAATTCCATGATCCATCTGATCAAAGAGTATGACATTGCATTTTTCAGTCAAGGAAGAGGTCCTTCCTTGTGAGTAGTATTTTGATGATTATGGGCTGAGAAGTTAAAGGCAAGAGACCATTACAAGGCTAATAACCTGATGAACTTCATCTTATATGAGTATATTATCCTTGGGTCTTCATAAAGTGGTTGAATCCAATGATCATTTATGTTTAAATATTGGGTTTAAATTGAGCCCAAGCTGATTGGGTTAGGGGTTCATTACCCTTGGGCAATGAATTCAACCTGCCCCTTCCAAGGGTAGGGATAGACCCTTATGGACTTGTGTGATACCTTTGTAGGTCCTACACTACACAATATTCAAGCCTAAGTCATTAGGCAATGCCAAGATATGTGAGCCATTAAAGAATATTGTCCTTAAGCCCATTACTAATGAGACTAGTTTAAGAAGTCACATGATAGTGTGGATCGAATATGGGTATGGATGTGGGTATGGAGAATTTATTCTCTTAAGAACATAAAGTGATTAGCTAAACATGGATATTTCCTTATCCAAATATGATTTGGATCAGCTCCTAATAGGATTAGGAGAGTGCTCTATATAAGGGGATTAGAGAGAGGGGGTCTTTTCTCCCCATGCTTCTACTTCTCTTCTCTCCTCCCCTTGCACCCAAAAACCCTAGTTCGATCCAGCCATAGTAGGGGCTGATTCTCTTCACTCCTTATCTAAGTTTTTAGATAAAAAGATCATATTTGTTAGGGTTCACATAGCTGCATCGATTCCAAGAATGTTAGAGTTCGGCTTTGCAAAAACTACATTGTTGAATCAGCTTCCGTTGTGCCATTTTCAGCGGGAGGATGATTTGGTTCTAATATTGGTCATGAACTACCACATTGAGAGCTTCATTGTATGGACTCTATAACAGGTATGCTCACTACTTAATTAGGGTTTCAAATCTGGTCCGATTCAATGCAAGATCAATCTAGAAATTCAGATTTCAAAGTACCAAGGAACTAGTTCTCGAGTTAGGCTACAAGTTTTTTTAAAATTTGGCCAACAACTGTAACTGGTCCAGCCATGTTTAATTAAGTTTCAACTCATCCAACAAAAACTTGATAGGTTGCACATGTAACCATATGATTTACATGTATTTACTTTTTAATACATGTAACAGTACAATGTACATGTAATTTACCCAAAAATATAATTTATTTTATTATATTTTTAGGAGTTTTTTCTCTAACAACCCTTGAACCTTGCAAAAAGGCCAACTTTGACTATAAAAATTCAAAAAGGTCATTTTCTATCTCAGACTTTGATGAAAGGGCCATTTGTAGGAAAAAATAGGTGATGTCTAAAATGACAACAGTGGCACCATTTGAAATTGATTAAAATATTGCAAAATGCTGATGTTGCATGTGCAATCAACCATTGATGTGGCACTACTCAGGTAAAAAATCTAAGAAATGACCAAAAATAAAAATAAAAATATTTTTGTTTAATAATTAATTAATAAAAATATTAATTACATATGGGTCCCACTTGTCATGTCTCTCTCTCTCTCAATCATCTTCTTTGTTCGAACCAAGGTTTCAAATTTCGACTTGGCACACCCGATATAGGGTGTATCATAACAAATCTTTTAAAATTTGATACAAGATACAATGTAAAATTGGTTGTGTCATTTTTTTTCCACCATATTGAATCGTATTAGACATGTATCGGGGGTGTGTCAATGAACCTATTACGCATATCATTAGTGTTGTATAAAAAAAAATCAAACCTCATTCCTAGAGTGGTAAACTTTCTTAAGTTTTGAAAAATATTGCAAAAATAGGTAAGCTTTTTTTTCAATTTTTCGTAATATCTTATATTTTTGTTTTTTTGTTTTTTGCTTGGATGCTTTAAAACATTTTAGTCTATATTGATCTACATTTCATATGTTCAAAATCACATTTTTTTTTGTGTTAAGAGTAGATCTATTTAATGAAGAGATTTGGGAAAAATATAATATAACCAAAAAATTAAAAATGTATTCTTTTATCTGACTATAAAGACTTAATATGTTGAAGATCTATGGATTATTTATCATATCAATAGAGAAATTGAAATTTATTTTTTAATAATTATTTTTTTGAATATAATGTACAATGTTTATTTATTTTTTTTATAATCTTTGAAAATAAAAAATAAATATTAATTATTTAAATAAGAAATAATTATTATTTATAGTTTTAGTTAGAAGTTGTGGCAATGCATGTCGATGGTTGGATAGGATAATTAGGTTTTTCCCATCCCTTGAAACTTAAGAATTATAATTTATAAATTATAGTTAAGCATAGGATTTCTTAATGAAATTATAATTGACTACAATGTATTTCTTCATAAAACCATTAAAATATATTAATTTAATGTATGTATACCTCATTGAGTCCCTATACGTATTGGTGGATCTTATATTTAGTGTTATTGATACACCTGTGTATCTAAGGCATATCTTGATACACCTCTTAAAATTTCTTTCCAATACTTTGAACCTTGGTTCAAACTCAAAGACTTGTAGTAGCGGTGAAACCTCCCCACCTCAGGTCCCTTCCTCTATTCCCTTGTAATATCTCAAGTTTTGGAGGAAAAAAAAACTAAAAACTATTGTTATACCACTTCATCATCATCATCATCATCTAAGCCTTGTACATGGTGTGCCATATAAATCACGTACCTTCAGTCATTCCATTCCATTCAGCGCCATATCTATTGTTAAATTATGGATACTTAATTAAGTTTTTTTTTTTTTACTTCAACTTGTAACAGATCACATTTACTAACTAGTGCTATAAATTGTCTTCTACACATAGGACAAACCTATATAGTTTTACCCCATCTAACATTTGCATTCTGCCACACTCATTTTTTGAACTATCATTAGGAGATGCTTATATGAGAGATCTGGTCATTCATCAATACCATGATGTAGAGGAAGGAAGTATTCTTTAAGGTTGCAAATGGAATGGATAGAGTAAGATATGCCTTGATCCAAATTCGAGTTATATAGTATTTGAACCTAAATTGAATCTTCTCCTTCAGTTTTAAACCAAACATAGACAATAACTTTAGTAACTTTGGTGAGTGTTGAACCTATGACTTTGTTAAACATGCAACATTCAAAATAACTTTGTTAATAAATGTTTATATTAGATATAAGCACAAATGTAAATCCGTATTGGATTTGAATTAGGTAAATCCGTATTTAATCTAATTATAAATGAATTGAATTGGGATCACCCTTATTGGATTGGTAACCATTTGCAGCCCTAATAATCCTATTTCACTTTCTTCTCCAAATTCAAACATAGCTTTACCCAAACAAATCTATGATTATTAATTTCATCATAATATATAACTTCATTCACTTTGCTAGTACAGTTCTTTTGCAGGCAACTTCATGGCTATCTATAGGTTACTTTCCCTCATCAGGCATATCAATCTTCACCATTACTCTCCTTTTATGCGTCAGCAACCTTGGTGCATCAATTGTTGAAGTTGTTCATGAAGCCCTTGTTACTGAGGTTGGAAGACAAATGTCACAGTCATCACCATCTACTGGACTTAAGTCATTTGTCATGGTGGCTAGTTCTGTGGGTGGAGTCTTTGGTAACTTCCTTAGCATCAGAGGTATCAAACACTACTCCCCTAAAAGGATGTTCGTTGCATTTGGCCTCCTTTTATCTGTTCAGCTCCTCACAACATTCACTGTCCATGAATCCTCACTTGACCTCCCCAAGAGTGCATCTGATTCTGGTATCCAAGAAAAATTCTTTGAGTTATCAATTGCATTGTGTGAACCCAAGATTTTATATGCAATTGCATGGTATGCAACATCATATGCCATTGTTCCAAGCTTCAAAGGCACCATGTTTTTCCACCAAACACAGCATTTAAACCTTGCCCCATCGGTGTTGGTATACTCTAGTCTGTTTGGAGAAGCAGCTACTCTTCTATGGAGCATAACATATAGTTATAATCAACGATTGCAGTCAGTACCACCAGGAGAACTAATTTCAATTGTTCAGGTCATAATGGCTTTATTCAAGTTCTCTAATGTGTTGTTCGTGAATGGGTTCTATAAGAAAATAGGCATAGAGGATTCATTGTATGTGGTAATCTTCTTAGGGTTGTCAGATGTCCTATCCGGCTTCCGGTGGCTTCCATTTAGTGTCATCTTGGCAAAGCTCTGCCCACAAGGTTGTGAGGGATCTCTTATGGCCTTTGTCATGTCTTCTATCGAACTTGCTTACTTCATCTGCCGGACCCTTGGCATTGCACTCATGATACTCCTTGGCATCTCAGAGAATGACTTCTCAAAGCTACCGGAGGCCATTCTGATACAAGTCATCTTTACACTGCTACCTTTGTGTTGGAGTTCATGCATTCTGATTGGTGTTTCATAGAATGATCACTTCTCAGAGTTACCAAAGGCATTGCACTTATGGAGTTAAATATAGTCATTGAAATGGAGTTAAAGATGAGCCTCAAGGTCTATAAAACAATGCTATCTTACTTCCTGATTGGTATTTCATAGATTATTTAAATATTTCTCTCTAACAATAGTAGAAGTACAAATGTGTTGTACATGGAAAATTCAGCTCATGTCAACGACGATAACAACAATTTCCATGTCCATATCAGAACCTATGTATTATACAATAAAAAATATCTATATAAAACATAAAATATATATAAGTTTGTAGGCCTGAGATGCCTTGGTTATGCCCCTTATAGTAGGTGCTAAGCGCAACCAAGCTGGCCTAGCCCGCCAGACCATATCCTATAGTCGCCCCATGTATAGGACAAGTCTTTAGTAATATCAAAGTTTGTGTTTTTAATCTCCAACCACTGTTAATCAATCTAAACTAAATCTATATACAAATTCAATTAACCATTTATAGGTATAATTAATCTGTGTTTTTTACTTTAATATAAACTAAAGTAGCATAGGTAACTGAGCTATATTAAGTAAATTGACCTATCTAATAATCTAGCAGAGGCCCATGCAATGCATGGGCTTTATTACACAAAATCCAAGTTGAAGGACCCTTGTGACAATTTTAATTGGGCAAAGCCAAATTGATTCCTACCCAAGCATTATTTTTGGTTTATGTATTGTCAGATAAGCTTGTATTAATTTTTCTATTACTGCTTATTAATTTTTATAATGGTTAGATAAACTATTGGTAATTATTTATTATTCTAAATTGAATTTAAATGAATTTTCATTTGTATTAATTTTTGCTAGATAATTTTTTATTCTTTGCTAATTTAAAACATCTAAAGAAATATTATGCATATGTAGTTACTAATTAACTTGTTTTAGTATTATTTATTAACAGTTTTTTCTATTTTCTTAATTTATCTTAGTATTATTTTATTGTGATTAACTTTATGTGTTGGTATTATATACTATTAGTTATTATTTTTTACTTCTATTACATATTTATTTTTTATTAATTTTATATATTGACATGATGGAATTTAGGAATGTCAAAGGAGATGAGTTTAGGGTGGGGACCATACTAACCATCCTCGTCCCCAATTTCAAAATAAGTCCACCTCCATCTCCAATGGAGATAGGTTCCACATTGAGGACCTTAATCCCTTTTTTTTTAATTAAAAGCTTGCTTTAGGAAAAAGATTTGCTTAAAATAGAGACAAGTTCAGTAATCTAAATTGGTTTACACTTAACTATCATCATTAATCACCAAGATAAGATTGAAATTTGTCTAATATATGCAGTGACATTTTTATAATTATACAAAATTATTTTCAAAATGTTTCTGATTTGTCCCGGCATTCCCTTTCAGGATAAGGACTTCACTCCCCATCCTCAATCACCTATCCCAATAATTCCCTATCCCCCATCCTTGTCCCCGCCAAAGTAGTCTCCATCCTTGACCCAATCAAGTTAGGGAAGTTATATATCCAATAATCATCCCAATTAACTAAATTAAGTTGTGTTACCAAGTTAGTTTAATTTGACTAAGTAAATTTATTTAATTAAATTATATTTATCATGTTAGGTCAATTAAGTTAAATTTAATAAATTAACTAATTTATCTAATTAAATTATATTAAGTAAATTAGGTCAACTTAATAAATAACTATTTTTTGATGCATTATACTTATTTTAAAATAATAATGGATGAGAGAGGGGAGAAGAAGAGATAAAATGGATTGATGTGATGAGAGAAATAGAGATTTATGTATACATATACATATACATATACATATACATACATACATACATACATACATACATACATACATACATACATACATACATACATACATACATACATATAAATATATTGGACTAATTGGACTAAAATTACCCTCTACTTCTTTGTTTGAGAAAGGGTATAAAAGCCATTTTATTATATCTTCAATGTCATTTTTAATGGCTGCTAAAATGCCCACAATTTTGTATTTAGTCCATCTCTAATGATAATGTTGAAAATGTAACTTCAATTATTACTTTCCACCTCATTTAATCCCCTCTCATTAAGTCTTATATACTTAAATTATTAACTCCTATTTTCTCTTACTAAATTAGATCTATGTCAATATTTTTAACAATATAAACCCACATATTTTAAGACTAACTCAAAAACAAAACCATTTTTAATCCAAGAGGTGGCTAAGAAATTCAATCATCTGAATCAAATTGATCAACCAACAAAGTCATAGTAAGTTAATAAAATTTTTCAAATAGAAATAAATATAGAAACTTACAAAAAATGTAAAAAAAAATTATGCACATTTATGGTACTTTTATTAATCAAATTAAAAAAATATTTATAATAAACAAGAATTATTTTTATTGGTAATGAAAATGAAATACATAATTTAGAACTGACCAAAAAAGAAATTATTTTACTGTATAATATCATATATTTATCATATTAAACAAAAGGTAAGTGTGACATACTGAAATTATTTTTACACACAAAAATACAAAAAAAAAAACTTATAGAAAAAATTGAATACATCTACAATTTTATATTTACAGTACTATTAAAAATATAAATAAGATTATGGAACTTTCTTTTGACTAAAATACTCATTTTTTAATTTAGTCTCTATTTAATTATGAGGTTTAAATTGTAAATTGAACTACTACTTTTCACCCCGTTCAATTCTCCTTATTTAAATCTTACATTTTTTTAATAAATGAATAAAAAAAGGTACACCAAAAATATTAAATATTACAAAAAGAAGAATCTAGCCAAGCAAACAGGCCAATCAATGATACTTCAAACTTCACAACTAGATCCGATTATCACATATTTGGATGAGGTGTTTATGTAATCATATTTGGATTTTCAATCCACATTCAATTAATAATAAAAAATAAATATATATGTATATGTAAACAAAAAAATAGAAATACATAAAATTTATAAAAAAAATTGGATACATTATTACTATCATTATCATCATCTAGAATTACCACGTGCAAAGCACATGCACACTTACTAGTTTATTAAAAATAATTAATAGAAGAGTGAGAGGGGGAGTGGGAGAAAAATAAATGAGAGGATGTGTTTAATGACATGGAGAGAGAGAGTAATAGTAAAAATTGATAGGTTAAATTAACGAGTGTTTTTGGAGAAGACATGAGGTTTAATTCAAAGCAATAATTTAGGAAATGGAGATACTTTAGGAGAGAAATTTTAATAATACTTTTAGGTAATTGCAAAGTGGGTAAGCTAAAAGGGATTGCCAGCATCATTCAATAAGGAAGTCTAAACAACTTTGAAATCATGTCATAGTATGGTTGAATGTTAGAAAAGAGTCAATGCCACAAGTTTTAGAGATGGCCAAATTAAGCACCTTTTTTTGGCAGTTTTTCAAATAAACAAAAAAAAACTAAATTTCCATAATACCAATTGATGGTGATGCAATTGGTAATTGGATCCAATGTTGTTTCCTGAGGGGTGTGTGTGTGTGTGTGTGTGTTTTGAGAAAACAACTACTACATTGGCATGCCATTTTCTTAGAAAATGTTTTTCTTCTTTCTATTTTGGCACCATTGTTGTTGTTTCCATAAAGCAAGAAGTAGCTGATCTCAGGGAAGTCTTTAGAACCCTTAGGAAGTACCAGATGAAGCTGAACCTGACCAAATGTGCCTTCGAGATCGGTTCCGGCAAATTTCTAGGTTCATGGTCACTTAGTGAGGAATCAAAGCCAATCCAGAGAAAATCCAAGCCATCCTCAATATGTAGTCACCCCGAACTCACAAAGAAGTGTAGTGCCTTACTGGGCGAGTAGATGCCCTTAGTAAGTTCGTGTCTAAGTCTGCAGACCGATGCCTGCCCTTCTTCAAGGCCCTGAAAAAGGTCAAAGACTTCCAGTGGACTAAAGAGTGCGAGTAGTCCTTCCAAGAGCTAAAGAGGTACCTAAGTTCACCACCTCTCCTCACAAAGCCAAGCCCTAAGGACGAGCTGCTGCTCCACCTCTTGGTCGGTGACGAGGCGGTCAGCTCAATACTAGTTAAAGAAGAGGACCGAACACAAATGCCGATCTACTATACAAGCAAAGTTCTCAACGATGTGGAAACTTGATACACAAATCTTGAAAACGTAGCCCTAGCCCTAATCACCGCAGTAAGGAAACTCAGGCCATACTTCCAAGCCCATAGCGTCTGCATGCTTACTGACCAACCCCTCAAACAAGTATTACAGTAACCGAAAGCATCTGGCTGCCTAATCAAGTGGAATGTGGAATTGAGTGAGTTCAACATAGAGTACGCTCCATGGCCTGCCATTAAGGCCCAAGCCCTTTCCGATTTCCTAGCAGAGTGCACATTCACAGTATAGGACCTAGCCTGACACCGCAGATATGGACTCTCCATGTGGAAGGTTCACCCAATAAGTAGGGCAGCAGGGCCGGCCTCATTCTCTTTGGACCAGAAGACACAACGCTCAAGCATGCCCTGAGGTTTGAGTTCAAAGCCTCCAACAATGAAGTCGAGTACGAGGCCTTGATCGTTAGACTTTGACTTGCCCTAGAGCTCGGTGCACGACACGTAGAAGCCTTTAGCGACTCCCAGTTGGTGGTTAACCAGTTCCATGGCCAGTTCGAAACGTAGACCCCGACGATGGCAAGTTACTTGCAAAAGGTACAAGAGCTCGTTTAACGGCTCAATCACTTCACTATCCAGCAAATCCCTCGAGGTAAGAACGTTCGAGCAGATGCACTCTCCAAACTAGCAAGTCCATTGCGGACCAACCTCGACGCAACAGTCCAGGTGAAGGGAAGGGAGATTCATCATATGGATGGCCAAACCATGCAGGGTGACTGGGCGAAATTTCAAAAATTTCTTTCTCCCTTCCGGGAATCCTATTCCCTAATTTAGAAAAATTGCATGTTCAAAGGTTCGTTCTTGAAACAA